TAATAAGAGGGCTTTTTGAAACCCCAAATTAACCTTATTAGTTTTCATATACCTCCAAAAGGAAAGGGGGAGTAGATGGATCTAGTGCAGTCTCTATTTTTATCCCAAAAACTCTTGTAAATTGTCTTAAGATAAATAAATTGATAGTTTTAAGGTTTGTGCTCAAGTTTGTTATTTGTTGAACAATTTGGCTCCCTCTAGTGGTACTAAAAGGTAATTGGACACAGAAAAATCTATTTTGTAGCATATTTTGATGTATGGATATTTGATATCTATTTAAGCCATACTTAAATACGGAATTTAAAAAAGATTAGCAATAAAGAGGAAAGAAAAAGCCCTTTTAATCTTTAAGATAAAATACACATGATTGGAAAATCGCTATAGGGTGTTTTGAAAGAATGTTTTGCTTCATATAAGACTATTTATTTAGGGGGCGAACACCATGGTGGGATCTAAAGAGGAGTCAAAGACATTTAGAAAGTACTTGCTCATGTTCATTATTCTGCCATCAGAGCAACTTCATATTAGAAGAAGACAAAAATATATAAATAAAATGAAGGTGTCATCACAGGGCCTACAGCAGGCTGTTTCTATGGATGCAGCTGCAAAGGGCTAACTGTTGTGGGAACCTTGTTTATTTTACTAAAACAAGCATTAAAAATTGATAAAGACAAGCACCAATAATTCTGGACTATTTTTCTTTGGACAGGTGAGTCTAATATTAAAATATTTAGACATCAGAGTGGAGGTCTTGTTTACTTAAAAACAATACAATGGCCAGATTAAGACCTGTGGAGCATTAAAGGCAGACTTGATTGTGTAACCCAGCTAGCTCATGAAAACTTCAAAACCAAAATGGCACTTAAAAGCTTCATGGGCATAAACATACTTAACTTTGTCCTTTAGCTCTCTGCATTTCATGTTATCATAATAAATAATTTCATGATTTGGGGATGTTTTGCTACAACATGAACAGATTTTCACCCACTGGTTGCTTATAGATTCTGCCATGTTTCAGAGGAAACTGTAAGAACATCTGTTAGAAATACAAACTGAACAGGTCACGACCCTGCAGCATAAGAGCGACTCAAAATAGATCAGTAAAACGCCAAAAACTGGTGGAGAATTTGTGTTTCTGCAAAACACTAACTGCTTCTGCTGCAGATGGAGATCAGCAGCATGCTGTACCGATCACATCACGCCTATGCTCTCATCTCCTCTTAGCCCAGCGTGGGACAGATGGTCTGTTGGGGAGACGAGAGGAAGCGGTGAGCACTGGGTCACGACTCAGCTCTGCAGCAGGGTGAAGTCACATTTCCACAGTGACCTTAGTGTTTCTGTCAGAACATGCGGATGCCAGAGTTTCTGTGCTGTTTGTCCCCACCAAATGTCTTGCATCAAAGGAAACCAGAATAATAAATAATTAAAACATATCTGCTTATATCTAGTCAATTACTAAATCTTTATCTCATCTGGCAGACTGGCATAAAGGTGCAAAGGTTTTCAAATGTTTATAAAAATGCTGTACACTCAAAACATCTGAAATGAGTGGCATTCATTTGGATTTCCCTTTAATTCTGACAGACTTCACCAAATTAAAAGGTAACCACCTGCTTTTAACAGTCACCTAAATAGTATGAGGTTCCATTTGTGTCAAAAATAAGCAGATGTAAAATGTCTAGATGTTGTGCTGTTGTTGCATATGT